AATCTGCCTGTCAAAAAAAAAAAAAAAAAAAAAAGAAGAAGTAAAAGAATGAAAATAATTTACTACACAAACACTATGTAGCTATCATATCAAACAAAGTGAACTGCAGGACACAAAACTATTACTGATAACTGGGGCCAGCACTGTGGCACAGCAGGTTAAACCACTGACTGCAGCACCAGCATCCCATATGGGTATGTTCCACTTCTGATCCAGTTCCCTGCTAATGTACCCAGGAAAGCATGAAAAGATGGCCCAAGTTCTTGGGTCTCTGCACCCAAGTGGGAGACCTGGAAGAAGCTCCTGGCTCCTGGCGCAGCCCTGGGCAGTGCTGCCATTTGAGTAGAGAACAAGTACATAAAAGAGTCTCCTTCTTTCTCTCTCTCTCTCTCTTTTCATCTACTTCTCTCTCTCTGTAACTCTGCCATAAAAATAAATTGATAAATATTTTTTAAATTATTACCGATAATTGATAGGACCATTTTTAATGATAATGAGTTAATTCTCTAAGAGTCTGTAGCAATTCAAAGGTCTAATCATGTAACTGTAGTTTCAAAATACATTAAACAAACATAGATAAAGTTGAAAAGTTTTCAGTTGTGTTTGAAATCTTCAGCATTTTTCTCTCCTAGTCATTGATAGAAGAGAATGAATGATAAGGATACAAATGCCTCAAAAAATAGTATGAAACAATGTGAACTAGTTGACATTTGCAAAACACTACCCAACAAAAACAGAATACATATTCAAGTATATGAGGCTACTTCCAAAAGTGCGTGGGAAAAATGGAATTAAAAGGTAAGATTAAGGCAGGCATTGGGCTAGTGTTTAAGATTCAGTTGTGATTCCCATTTCATAACAAAATAATTGAGCTTGATCCGAGCCCTGGCTTCTGACTCCAGCTTCCTGCTAACGCTGACCCTAGGAGGCAGCAGGTGATGGCTCAAGTATTGAGTTCCTGCCACCCATGTGGGGAACCTGATTCAAGCTTCTGGCTTTTCCTGGCTATTTGGGGAGTCAACCAGTGGCTGGAAGTTCTTTCTACTGTTGTGGGCATTGAAAAGTTAACCAGTAGATGAAAGATTCTCTGTCTCTCTCTCCCTTTCTCTCTCTTTCTCCCCCTCTTTCACTCAGTAAGGAAAAACTAGGAAATTAAACAGCACACTTCTTTTTTTAAAAAAAAACTTTTATTTAATAAATATAAATTTTCAAAGTACTACCTTTGGATTATAGTGGCTTTTCCCCCCATAACCTCCCTCGCACCTGCAACCATCCCATCTCCCACTCCCTCTACCATCGCATTCTTCATCAGGATTCATTTTAAATTATCTTTATAAGCAGAAGATCAACTTGGTATATACTAAGTAAAGATTTCAACAGTTTGAACCCACACAGATGCACAAAGTATAGAGTATTGTTTGAGTACTAGTTTTACTGTTAGTTCTCATAGTACAACACATTAAGGACAGAGATCCTACATGGAGAGTAAGTGCACAGTGACTCCTGTTGTTGATTTAACAATTGACACTCTTATTTATGACATCAGTAATCACCCGAGGCTCTTGTCATGAACTGCCAAGGCTATGGAAGCCTCTTGAGGTCATCAATTCCGACCTTATTTAAACAAGGCCATAGTGGAAGTTCTACCTCAAGAGAAAGGTAGATGCTTCTTTGATGGCCCGTTCTTTTTGCTGGGATCTCACTCACAGAGATCTTTCATGTAGGTCATTTTTTTCATCACAGTGTCTTGGCTTTCAATGCCTGAGAAACTCTCCTGGGCTTATTAGCCAGATCTGAATGCCTTAAGGGCTGATTCTGTGGCCTGAGTGATGTTTAGGGCATCTTCCATTCTATGAGTCTGCTGGGTATCCCACTTCCCACTTTGACACTTAATACTATCTTTATGATCACTTATGAACTGAAATTGATCACTTGGACTAGTGAGATGACATTGGTACATGCCACCTTGATGAGATTGATTTGGAATTCCCTAGCACGTTTCTAGCTGTACCATTAGGGGTAAGTCCGAGTGAGCATCTGCCAAACTGTACATCTCTTCCCTCTCTTATTCCCACTCTTATATTTAACAGGGATCACTTTTCAGTTAAATTTGAACACCTAAGAATAATGGTGTGTTAATTAAAGAGTTCAACCAATGGTATTAAATAGAACAAAAAAAATACTAAAAGGAATAAAATAGTAAGTTGTTCCACAAAAGTCAGGACAAGGGCTGATCAAGTCATTGTTTCTCATAGTGTTTATTTCACTTCAACAGGTTTCCTTTTAGGTGCTCGGTTAGTTGTCGTCAATCAGGGAGAACATATGATATTTGTCCCTTTCGGACTAGCTTATTTCACTCAGCATGATGTTTTCCAGATCCTCCATTTTGTTGCAAATGACTGGATTTCATTGTTTTTTGTTTTTTGTTTTTTTTTTTTTTTTTTACTGCTGCATAGTATTCTATAGAGTACATGTCCCATAATTTCTTTATCCAGTCTACTGTTGATGGGCATTTGGGTTGGTTCCAGGTCTTAGCTATTGTGAATTGAGCTGCAATAAACATTAATGTGCAGATAGCTTTTTTGTTTGCCAATTTAATTTCCTTTGGGTAAATTCCAAGGAGTGGGATGGCTGGGTTGTATGGTAGGGTTATATTCAGGTTTCTGAGGAATCTCCAGACTGACTTCCATAGTGGCTTTACCAGTTTGCATTCCCACCAACAGTGGGTTAGTGTCCCTTTTTCCCCACATCCTCTCCAGCATCTGTTGTTGGTAGATTTCTGAATGTGAGCCATTCTAACTGGGGTGAGGTGAAACCTCATTGTGGTTTTGATTTGCATTTCGCTGATTGCTAGTGATCCTGAACATTTTTTTATGTGTCTGTTGGCCATTTGGATTTCCTCTTTTGAAAAATGTCTATTGAACTCTGTGGCCCATCTCTTAAGTTGTTTGTTTTGTTGTTGTGGAGTTTTTTGATCTCTATGTAGATTCTGTTTATTAATCCTTTATCTGTTGCATAGTTTGCAAATATTTTTCCCATTCTGTCAGTTGCCTCTTCACTTTCTTGACTGTTTCTTTTGCAGTACAGAAACTTCTCAGTTTCGTGCAATCCCGAGTGTTAATTTTGGCTTTGACTGCCTGTGCTTCTGGGGTGTTTTCCAAGAAGTCATTGCTGGTGCCAATATCTTGCAGGGTTTCTCCAATGTTCTCTAATAATTTGATGGTGTCTGGTCATAGATTTAGATCTTTAATCCATGTTGAGTGAATTTTTGTGTAAGGTGTAAGGTAGGGGTCTTGCTTCATGCTTCTGCACGTGGAAATCCAGTTTTCCCAGCACAATTTATTGAATAGACTGTCCTTACTCCAGGGATTGGTTTTAGATCCTTGACCAAATATAAGTTGGCTGTAGATGTTTGGGTTGATTTCTGATGTTTCTATTCTGTTCCATTGGTCTATCCATCTGTTTCTGTACCAGTACCATGCTGTTTTGATAACAACTGCCCTGTAATTTGTCCTGAAATCTCATATTGTGATGCCTCTAGCTTTGTTTTTGTTGTACAAGATTGCTTTAGCTATTCGAGGTCTCCTGTGTCTCCATATGAAATTCAGCATCATTTTTTCCAGATCTGAGAAGAATGTCTTTGGTATTTTGATTGGTATTGCATTAAATCTATAAATTGCTTTTGGGAGAATGGACATTTTGATGATATAGATTCGTCCAATCCATGAGCATGGAAGATTTTTCCATTTTTTGGTATCCTCTTCTATTTCTTTCTTTAAGGTTTTGTAAGTCTCATCATAGAGATCTTTGACATCCTTCGTTAAGTTTTTTCCAAGGTATTTGATTGTTTTTGTGGCTGTTATGAATGGGATTGATCTTAGGAGTTCTTTCTCAGCTGAAGAATTGCCTGTGTATACAAGGCAATTGATTTTATATCCTGCTACTTTGCCAAACTCTGCTATGAGTTGCAATAGTCTCTTAGTAGAGTTCTTTGGACCCCCTAAATAAAGAATCATATCATCTGCGAAGAGGGATAGTTTGAGTTCTTCCTTCTCAATTTGTATTCCTTTAATTTCTTTTTCTTTCCTAATGGCTCTGGCTAAAACTTCCAGAACTATATTGAATAGCAGTGGTGAGAGTGGGCATCCCTGTCTGGTACCTGATCTCAGTGGGAATGCTTCCAACTTCTCCCCATTCAATAGAATGCTGTCTGTGGGTTTTTCACAAATTGCTTTGATTGTATTGAGGAATGTTCCTTCTATACCCAATTTGCTTAGAGTTTTCATCATGAAAGGATGTTGTATTTTATCAAATGCTTTCTCTGCATTTATTGAGATAATCATATGGTTTCTCTTTTGCAGACTGTTAATGTGGTGTATCACATTGATTGATTTGTGAACATTGAACCATCCCTGCATACCGGGGATAAATCCCACTTGGTCTGGGTGGATGATCTTTCTGATGTGTTGTTGCATTCTATTGGCCAGAATTTTATTGAGGATTTTTGTGTCTATGTTCATCAGGGATATTGGTCTGTAATTCTCTTTCAATGCTGCATCTTTTTCAGGTTTGCGTATGAAGGTGATGCTGGCTTCATAGAAAGAATTTGGGAGGATTCCCTCTTTTTCAATTGTTTTGATTAGTTTGAGAATTGGAGTTAGTTCTTCTTTAAATGTCTGGTAGAATTCAGCAGTGAATCTATCCAGTCCTGGGCTTTTCTTTGATGGGAAGGCCTTTATTACTGAATCAATTTCTGACTTGGTTATGGGTCTGTTTAGGTTTTCTATGTCTTCATGGTTCAATTTAGGTAGGTTAAACAACAGACTTTAAATAACTGACAGATCAAAGAATAACTCTCAAGTGAAATTAAACAACATTATGGACTGAATGTAAATGGAACATATCAATAATTATGAGATGTAGCTAAAGCAATGCTTAGAGAAAATTTTGTACCATTAAATTTTCATAATAAAAGTCTCAGTTCTTTCCCGTCTTGCAAGATGGCAGGTGCAAAAGCTCCGGCTCCAAAGCTGGATGCTACAAAGAAATCTCCAGCCAAGAAAGCCGATCATGCCCGCAGCAAGGCGAAGAAGAAGACCCTCACGGAGAAGAAGCCCAAGAAGGGGAAGCCCCACTGCAGCCGAAACCCCGGCCTGGTGAGAGGGACTGGCAGATACTCCCGGTCCGCCATGTACTCCAGGAAGGCCCTGTACAAGAGGAAGTACGGGGCTCCCAAGTCCAGGATTGAGAGGAAGAAGAAGAGGGAGAAGGTGCTGGCTACCGTCACGAAACCAGTTGGTGGCGACAAGAATGGTGGCACCAGGGCGGTCGAGCTTCGCAAAATGCCGCCCTACTACCCCACCGCAGATGTCCCTCGGAAGCTGTTGAGCCACGGCAAAAAGCCCTTCAGCCAGTACGCGAGGAAGCTGCGGGCCAGCATCACCCCTGGGACCATCCTCATCATCCTCACGGGGCGCCACAGGGGCAAGAGGGTGGTTTTCCTGAAGCGGCTGAGCGGTGGTTTGCTGCTCGTGACTGGGCCTCTTTCCCTGAATCGGGTTCCCCTGCGTAGAACACACCAGAAATATGTCATCGCCGCCTCCACGAAAATGGACATCAGCGGTGTGAAAATCCTGAAGCATCTCACCGATGCTTATTTCAAGAAGAAGAAGCTGCGGAAGCCCAGACACCAGGAAGGCGAGATCTTCGACACGGAGGAGAAATATGAGATAACAGAGCAGCGCAAGGTTGATCAGAAAGCTGTGGACTCGCAAATACTGCCGAAGATCAAGGCTGTGCCGCAGCTCCAGGGACACCTGCGGTCTGTCTTTGCTCTAACAAACGGAGTTTACCCTCACAAACTGGTATTCTGGTTTCGGAGGGGAAGCTCATTAAATAACGAACAACAACAACAAAATAAGTAAAAGTCTCAAAAGAGTACTCTAAGCTTTCCCTTTAAAAATTAAATAATGAAGAGAAAATTAAACTCAAAATAATCTAAACCTCTAAGAACAAAATGAACTGAAAATAGAAGAATAATAGAAATAATCAATGACATTAAGGGAAATTTCTTTAAAAAATACTAACAAAATTAATAAACCACCTGGCACCCTGACCAACCAGGATATAAAGACACAGATTACCAATATGAGCAGTATAAAGAAGGGGCATCATTACAGACCCCCAAAACATCAGAAACAGAATAAAAGAAGGAAAATGGTATGGAGATTCCTCAAAAGATTAAAATATAACTCCCCTATATGACCCAGCTCTCCCACTTCAGGGAATATATCCAAAAGAAATACAGCCAGCACATGAAAGAGACACCTACACTCCCATGTTTAGTGCAGCTCTACTCACAACAGAAAAGATGTGGAATCCATATAGAAGTGCATCCATCAATAACTGGATAAGGGAATAGTAGTACAGATACACACACAGACACACACACGGTCACACACACACATACACACAGTGGAGTATTAGTCATACAGAAGAGTGAAATTCTGATATTTATAACAGAATGGATGCAACCAAGAGAAATTTTGCTAGCAGAAATAAGCCAGATACAGAAAGACAAACATCATGGTTTCCCTCATATGTGTAGATCATTATATACAGTCAAAATGCATGGATGTCTTACTAGTTGATACATATATATATTAACTAGTATATGTATACATATGCTATATATACATATACTAGTTGATATATAGGTATTTGTTAGTGTTGTCTTCTCTGAATTATACCTTTTTTGTAGATTTTATATATTTATTTGAAAGGCAGAGTTACATACAGAGAGAAGGAGAGACAGTTAGAGAGGTCCTTCATCCGCTGGTTCAGTCCCAAATGGCCACAATGGCCAGAACTGAGCTGATCCAAAGCTAGGAGCCGACTCTGGGTTTCCCACATGGATACAGGGGCCCAAGTACTTGGGCTACCATCTACTGCTTTCCCAGACCATAAGCAGAGAGCTGGATTCAAAGAGGAAGCGCATGGACACGAACCAGTGCCCATACAGGAGGCTGACGCCGCAGGCAAAGGCTTAGCCCACTGTGCCATAGGGCCGGCCCATGAATTAGACTTCTTACATAATAATATAATCTCCTTTCTTCATTTTTTATATTAATATATCTACTCTTGCTTTTAGATAAGTAGCATGAATGTGCTTATATGTAACATACCTTGAAGCAGATGTGGCAAATGGCTAAAATGTTTCAAAAAGAAAGGATACTTTGAGGCTGGTGCAGTGGCTTAATAGGCTAATCCTCCACTTGTGGCGCCGGCACCCTGGGTTCTAGTCCCGGTCGGGGTGCCGGATTCTGTCCCAGTTGCTCCTCTTCTAGTCCAGCTCTCTGCTGTGGCCAGGGAGTGCAGTAGAGGATGGCCCAAGTCCTTGTGCCCTGCACCCGCATGGGAAACCAGGAGAAGCACCTGGCTCCTGGCTTTGGATCAGCGCAGCGGCCATTGGGGGGTGAACCAACAGAAAAAGGAAGACCTTTCTCTCTCTTTCTCTCTCTCTCACTGTCCACTCTGCCTGTCAAAAATAATAATAATAAAAAGAAAGGATACTTTGAGTGATTATATGCACAACTTAGACAAAATGGACCAATTTCTTAAAAGGCACAAACTGCAAAAACCTAGTGAAGAAGAAATAGATAGCCTAGATTGTCTCCCTCAGTTTCTTTTTCTTTATTTCTTTTTCTTTATTATTATTTTTATAGGCAGAGTTAGACAGTGAGAGAGACAGAGAAAAAGGTCTTCCTTCTATTGGTTCACCCCCCAAATGGCCACTATAGCCAGGAGCCAGGTGCTTCCTCCTGGTCTCCATGAGGGTGTAGGGCCCAAGCACTTGGGCCATCCTCCACTGCCTTCCCGGGCCACAGCAGAGAGCTGGACTAGAAGAGGAGCAACCGGGACAGAAACGGCACCCCGACCGGGAATAGAACCCGGGGTGTAGGCGCTGCAGGCAGAGGATTAGCCTAGTGAGCCACAGCGCCCGCCACTTTTTCTTTATTTCTGTGCCTCAGTATGTGATGCTGGTGTCACAGGCAGCAGCTTCACCAGCTGGGCTACAGAACTGGTCCCCATTGCCTCAGTCCTAGAGTTTCCAATGCATCGACCTCCTGTCATTCTTCAGTCACACTATGTTCTCTCTTACCTCAGGGATCTTGAAATATTCTTTATTTTGTCTGAAATTTCTTCCTCCATTTTGCTTCCAAGTTCTATAGCCACGGTTGTTTTGTTTTCTTATTCTTTCTTCAGATTCCTCAACAATTATTTTTTTTTTCAGGGAAAAATCCTGTAACCTTCCTCTGTTTGGAGTTTTAGCATCTGATCTCGTATTCACAGCATTTGCCTCCAATAGGATTTATCCTTTGGTTGATACTTTTTTTCCCATTGACTATAGCTTTTAAGATGGCAGGGATCTTGCCTTTTATCTGCTATCCCCTAATACAATGAAAGGCATGTAACTAAATGATAAATACATATTTTGAATTAATGTAGGGAAGCATTTTAAAATTTCCTTTTTTATGAAAAATAAAAAAAATTGTATACATTTATGGTGTACAATATAATGGTTTGATATACCCATATATGTATAGTACATTATAGAATGGCTTAATCAAGATAATGACATATCTGTTACTTCATATACTTTTTTATTAGAATACTGAAAATAGTTTTTTAGCAAGTTTCAAGGATATAATAATTGTCATTAACCATGGTCACTATGGATACAGTGGATCTCTTGAACTTTTTTCTCCAGAATAAATGAAATTTCTTATCCTTTGACCAGCACCTCCCCAATCCCGTCCCCTCCCCCAACCCTACCTTTCTACTCTGTCCTGCTCTGGATTTGGCTTTGTTAGAACCCTCATATGTGAAATCACGTAGCACCAGTTTTTCTGTTCATGGTTTATTTTACTTAACAAACTGTAGATTCATCCAAATGACAGGATTTCCTTCTTTAATCAGGCTGGATTCCATTGTGTCTACACTCCACATTTTCATATACTGGTGGACACTTAGGTTGATTTAAGGTCTTGACTATTGTGAATAATGCTACAATGAACATACAAGCTCGATCTCTCTGATATATTGATTTCATTTCCTTTGTATATTCTCAACAGTGGGAATTTCAGATCATGTGTTCTATTTTTAATTTTTTTAGGAGCCTCCGTACTGTTTTCCATGATGGTGCTAATTTGCATTTCCATTAGCAGTGTATAAATACTCCCTTTTCTCCATAAAGCATTTGTTATCTTTTGTATTTTTGATAATTGCCACTCTAACAGTTAAGAGGTGAAATATCATTTTGGTTTTAATTTGCAATTCCCTGATAATTAGTAAGGTTGAGCATGTATTGGCTATTTGCATATGATTTTTCTAGTCCTTTCACATTAATCAGGCAATCAATAAGTGAGGATAAAAAGGGAATCAAGACTTTGTCACCCAGAATATTTTGATGTTGTATTTAGGATTTTAGATTGATGTATAAGAAACAACACACAAAACATTGTAGAATACTATTACAATCAACTTTGCTTTTAAAAGATATTTCTTGTAATACTTTCGCAGAGATTGAATGAGATATTGGAAATACAGTTCTCCCTTATTGACCAGGAATGTCTTCCTCTGTCACACTAATGAAAGTGTTGCCAGGATGAAGCTGACTATCCATTAACTCTCTTTAGCAGTATGGTTTGCCCTGGGTGTGGTCAGGTGACTAAGGAACTGTGAATGGGAAGTCAGTAGAAATGGTGCATGTCTCTTCCATTCGCTCATAAGAAATCTTACTTTTAAACTTCTTCACACTCTTTTCTCTTGCCAAGTATCTGGAATGATGATGATCACAGCAAATTTGGAATCCTCACTTTAAAGAGGGAAAAGCAGCTTTCGATCTAAGACCAGAAATGATTGCATATGGTAGAATCACTACCAAGTAAGCCTCATCAACACTACATGAGTGAGTGTGATGAAGTCATCTTAAGGCCTTGCCTCTAGAACATGGATGCACAGTCCTCTTTCACTGGACTCTGTTCCTCCATGCTGTAATAATGATGATCAGAACAACCTTGAAAGATGCATGATAACAATGCTAGCGATACTGATAGTGCTGACCTGTGTGTGTAATAAGTAATGGGGCGTTTACCTTCCTGGACTATCTAAATTGCTTACTTCGCTTGGGGTTTCTTTATTGAAGCAATTTTATCTTCTACTGTTACTAATAAAGAGGCTATTTTAATATTTAAGGCAGTAGCTGACAGTCCCTCACATTAAGTAAGAGTAGTGGTTGGAAATCTGGGTCTCCCTTTAAATCTACTGAGATCAAAAATAGTAAACAGCCATTTAATGAGACAGGAAAATGTGCAGAATAAGGCAGGACATCCAAAATGCAGAGTGCAAGGCTCTTTAGAGCCTCTCCCCAGTTAAAAAATGAACAATGATTATACTAGTGAAAATCATACAACATGAATCATTACAAGCCTCTAGAGATTTTTTTTAAGAACATAACAATAAATAAATAAGCCTTCAAGAAAACCTTACCAGCTCTCGATGAAAAGAACAAGAGTCTCTGGCACTTTAGCCATGGCTACACACCCTTCCTCAACTTCTGCACTGGACAATCTCCACCCTAGGTATTCTACTTAGGGAGTTGCAGCCATGAAGATGGGACTCCCTGCCCTTTGTCTGGAGCCACACTTTACCCTGGGCACTGTAAACCAGCAGAAGGATTTCTCTCTCCCTCTCCTTTCCACCCTCCTGCTCTTCACTCTCCCTCCCTCCCCAAAAAAATGAAAAAGGATTTTTAAATCAATTCTTACTGGCAAAGGGGACTTTAGTACAACCTTTAACATATAGATGACTTATAGTGACATAATCCTAGATCTGAAACAAACAAACAAAAACTACTAGGGAT